GCGGTCTGATCAGCTTTGGAGAGTTCGACGTAAGTCATCCATTTTTCAATCACTCGTTGCTTAATTGAACTTTTGTAGATTACACAAATGTTGCTACTGACAAAAGTCACTAGTAATATTTTATTAATAAAAATGCTAAGGCCGATCAACGAAGTCTAATCGAATTACGTAGTTTATCGATGCCTAATTTAACTTCATTAGTGAGTATCTGTAGCCGAACACACTGCTTCGGCTCCATAAAAAGTTGAGAACTGTAAAGGATACATGACACATCACGTGGGCATGTTTTCACAGTGCGTCAGGTACTTGGCAGAGAATACAAATTTCTACTAATTTAAAGTCAAGCTTCTAAATTCCTCAGAAATATCGAAAGTAAATTCGAAGCTAAGGTCCCGATACAAGCATTTTCGGGTTTTATTTTAAAGTTTCTATTTACTATTTGGTTTAATAGCCTTATCTCTGTTGAAATATCGTGCAACATTTTGAGGTAATTTAGCATTAGCATAATTTTGTGTGCCTGCCTTTTGAATATTGCTATAGTTCTTTCTTCGAGCTGGGATGGGACCGTTGCTATGAATGTACCGTCTTGCGTTACCCAGACCAGATGAAGGCCACCCTGCATGAGCTAAGACCAGCCATTTTGTTATTCTAGGACGGTTTGCGCCACATTTACCGAGATTGTGTTTTTTGTTTACTTAAAGAAGCCAAATAATGTACTACCTACTTTCACTTTTTTTCCTACAACTACGTTCTTTCCATCCTTAGCCCCGACCCATAGCCAAATATATATTTCATCTTTGTTTGATTTATTTCCCTTTGCAGTTCTTAGAATTCTTCAATTTTTATGAACTGCTGGTCTTCATTGTCATGGGTTGCTTTGGAGGACTTCTTGGCGCACTCTTTGTCAAACTCAACTGTATGCTGACACAGTATCGACAGCTGTGAGTCACAGATTTAGATAGTCTTGTTGTGCATACTTGTAATGGCTTTCAGATAGGCAATCATTTGTCCACTATTACACTTGTCAGGCAACGTGCAAGGAAACAAATACGCTATCGCAAGAATTACTGTTACGAATGCAAGTTAAGTTACGGCAGGGGATTAGATTAATAGAGAAATTCGTAGCAGCTGCAATCTTCAGGTCCGGTTCATCGCGGCAAGAGGAAAGATGAGAAGCCAAGTAGAGGAAACATTTTATTCCGTACACAATAATTGGAGAGTATTTGATAGTTGACTAACAGATGAGGGCACAACCGCAGGCCACAAAGCCGCGTTTGGAGTGGTGTCTGCTCGGCAGCCGTCACATGAGGTCCTGTGTGAGTTAGCCCCGAAAGGTGATTGGTCAGACGGGCTTGACAGACGCATCTGTGATAAGCTGTCCCAGAGGTCGATATCATCAGCAGTGAGCATTCGCGTGTGAGTGAGTCACCAAAAATGCCCCCTTCCCATACCGGAGTTTGGGTGATGAAACAGTCTGAACGCAGGAAGAATAGTTAAATATAGTGATTGAAATACGTACCAAAGGTAGGGTTGATAACAACGTGGGCGGCTGTGACTGGAATGAATGAGCCAGGTTAAAGGGGCGGCTGTAGAAGGCCGGTAGTTGAGTTGTGCATCGACGGCAAATCGGTATGTCATGTCAGTACGGGTTGAGTTGAGAGATACCGTTGACAGTAGAAATAGGATCATATGTTGGGCAGGAGATCTGTATGCTAGTCAGACTTCTCTGCTGGATTGGGAAGGAACGATGGCCTGGGCTCGATGGACTGACAGTGGTTGATGATCTCCATCTCTCAATACGACAGGATGTCGGTTAAGAAATTGTGTATATAGTGGCCACATAAGATGACACAGGATTCGGCTCAACCACATCTAGAAGTTGTGAGCGCAGATCACGCCGGCAAGTCACCAATATCGCAGGAGGTTAGGTTACTAGGGAAAACACTAGCAGCTGCGGCCATCAAACCCGGGTCCTTGCGGCAATATAAAATGTGAGTCAGCGATAGCGGTGCTGATTCCAGAATCGCCATGAAGGCTTCTCAGACCATTCTGAACATCAAAGTTTAGGCTGCTGTTCGCAAACCCACCACAGACTCTAGAGATAGAATCGAAGTCCTTTCTGAACTACAATTCTGTACTACTTATGTATCAGAACCCTGCAGTATATCAGGTGTCGGGAAAATGTGGAACAGACAAAACCTAACCCTACGATTGACTGCACCTTTTGGCAAATGAAATTGTTGTCCTTTTATCCCAGGAAATCTATTACCTTGAGAGGAGATTCATAGGAAACCCGAGGCGGCAAAAGGTTGAAACAGTTGCTAACTGTTACCTCTCTTTTAACTTCGAATACAAGGCCATTTTATTCGTCTGTGAATCGGTTAAACAACGTAGCCTTTTTACGAGAATATTTTCTTAAAAGTCAGTATATGAAAAAGTCGAATCAGTAACTTGTAGATACAGCCTACTCCAAAATCCCGAGACCCTAACCGTAAATATTCTTTTAAACAGAAGGAAATCATTCTTGCCTACAGCAAGAGTCATTATCAAGCATGTTCTGTGATCCTAATGTAATTCGTTTCTCTGAATTCAGCCCAAGGTCTTCCTAGATGCCACTAACATTCTGACTCCCGTAAAGTAGTGTATTTAAAATATAGCTCTCGAGGCCTTTGCAAGCTAGTGTGTGGCTTGTACGAATGTCATTTACGTCATCAGGGATGTTCCAGTTCTGTAAAGCTTTATACTTGAGAGTAATGAATGCTTTATCTTTACAAGGGTCCGGTAAGTGATTTATTTTTTGAATACCAGTCTGCGTTTTTACAGTCCATTGTTGCCCCCCTGAACGTACTTTTTGCGTCTATTTTCTAAAAAATTGCCCCATTTGATTTGCCGATTTATGCGAAGCGCTAATTTTGTATGCAGTGTTCTTCGAAAGGAGCTAATTCCTCGCATTAGAAAATAAGCCTTGTGAGTAGAGGAAAATATGCGAGTCCCAGGTCCTTGTTGTAAAGAAGAAGGACGTGTCATCACTAGAACGGTAGATTTATTTGTCGGACTTTTCGACTTCGTCCAGAGCCTGTGTGAGTTCAGAGAAAACGGGAAATTTTTGTACTCGTAAATAAGGGAGGGGAGAAGGGAGAGGCGCAGGTTAGTAAAAACCAACGCAACTGCTGAGGCCAAGCACACTGTGCGTCAGAAAGTTACAGGACGTCCGTTGAAGACTATACATAGTGTGTGAGCAGTTATTATTTCCTCACCGGGATCTACAATGCCCTCTGCTATTATTCACCGTCCAAAACAGGCATGCCACAGTAAAGGGATTTCATTTATTTTAGTCATCAGTGCTATTTTCAATTTTTTCCGATAGTTTTCCATATTTAAAATTATAGC